TCATAGGAATGTCAGAAGCTACACCCAACAAGACTACCCAGACATGAGCTGAACAAGGGCATCCATAGGCATGGCAAAGTAGTCAAAGAAAAGACCAGAGGGCTGCAACTCCATACAAAGAACTGCAGGCAACTAAGGAATGTTGGAAGCAGGAGAAATGGGCTAGCCTTCCCCAGAACAGAGTACACCAATTAGTTACCCAATACCAAACAGACAGCCCTGAAACCATACATAAAACTAACATTATACAGAACTAGCAGATTATATTTATGAATATATATGTATTTACATTTACAAATATGCAAGTCACAGCAATTAACGAAAAAGAGGCCATGAATTTGAAAGAGAGCAAGCAGTGATACATGGGACAGTTTAGGAAGAGGACAGAGAAGAAGTAAATGATGTAATTAATTATAATCTCAATAATAAAACTAACAAAAAATAAATAAAAATGTGGACTGGGGAGATAGTAAAGTGCCAACTGTGCAAGCACGAGGGCCGAATTTAGAGTCCCAGAAGCCACACACAAAGGTCCTCATGCTTTCATGCTTTCCAGCTGCCTGCAGTCCTGGTGCAGGAGATGGATTCCTGAACCTTACTGGCAAGCAAACAAAATCTATGATCTTTGTCGCATTGAGAGACCCTGTCTCAAAAATTAAATGTGGACAGTCACTGCAGAAAGACACTCACTATCAACTTCTGCTCTGTCTATGCACACATGCACACACGTTAACAATTACACACTACACATACAATAAAACACACGGAAAAAAGGTGAAAATTAACACTATATTTTTAGAAGTCCAAGCAACAACAAAAGATTCATTAGGAATATATTTCAGCATGCAACACTAATGCATAGCTCATTAACATAACAGCCACTTCTGTTCATTATTTCAACTCTGAGACTCAATGTCCGTAGTGACTAAACAAGCTGACAGAAAAACAGATGCATGTAAGAAATACTTAATAAGAAAGTGTTTTTCCGATCACGAGTTGCCAGATATGAGAAATGAGAGAATGGAGGAAGTTAAGAATGGCATCTATTCAAAGAAAGTAGCTTTGAAAAACAATTTAAAGCTTAGAAAATATCACATTTTACTTTTTAAAAAATGAGCTTTATGCAGCCAATTCTTCTAAATCATGTCCCTAAAATATCACAGTTAATGGCATTCAAAAGTTGAACTGTTAATTGTGCTTTCTTATAATTAAGCTGCCTATAATTTTACATCTTTGACTCTGACAAATTGAAACATGCATGGGCCTTAATTAAAAGCTGCTTGTGTATGGGAACATCTACTGCATGGTCAGGATAAATGTCTAAAACAATAATGTTTAAAAGAAAAAGCAATTCGTGTTAATGAATAAGATTTATTGCAAGCTTAATAAGATTTACTGCCTTCTAGATATATGCTTAGGACATTAATTAGCATTGTATCCTGCAAACATTACTTCCTCATAAGTCCTTTCCAGTATTCTTCTTGGTTGTTTCAGGCAAGCTCACAGAGTTAGTTGAATTGACAAATAAGGATTTAATCATAGACACCCTGATAGTACAGGTGGGTTGTTGTGGAATATTAATTTAGCTAGGTAAAGATGTGTTACATTTGTTTATGCTGTGGAATTCTACTTTAACTCTGTGAAAGTGTGTTACATTTGTTTCTGCTGCCTTTGTTAATGATGTAAAGATGTGTTACATTTGTTTATGCTGCATTTGTTGTATAAAGACATGTTGCATTTGTTTCACCTTGCCTGCCTAATTGGTCTAATAAAAAGCTGAATGGCCAATAGCTAGATAGGAGATGAATAGGTAGGGCTTCCAGGCAAAGGGGAGGGGAAAGGGGGGAAGAGGAACAAGAGAAGAAAGAGAAGAGAAATGAGGAGAAAGAAAGGTTCATGTCCAGGGCCAGAAGCCAGGCAACCTCCAGTCAGACACAACAAGCAGTAAGATCTACAGAAGGAAGAAAGGTAAAGAGTCTTGGGGTATAGGGTAGATAAAGAGAAAAAGGTTAATTTTAATTTAAAAAAAAAGCTATCCAGAAACACCTGAACTAGGCAAGCATTCGAAACTAACATTAGGTCTGTCTCCATGTCATGATTTGAAAGTTGGTTGGTGGCCCAAAATAGAAAGCCTGGTACAGCGGGTCACTCATCCTCCAAGCTCTCTCATTCCTGCCTTGTTCCAACAGACAGTTGACTAAATTTAAATACTCTGCATGTCATATACTGAGGTAACTGATAGAAAAGAAAACTGGAAAAATATGGTCTTTCCTCTCAAAGAACTAACTGTCCAGTAGAAAGCACATCCATGAAAAGCATTTCCTATCACAGCAAGGTCATGGTAAGTCAGAGTTTAGTGATGGTGGAGCACCGAAATGTGATACTAACAGTAAACAATTCAGAGACAGCAGACAAGAGCATAAGTATATCATACAGAAAAAGCATGTGCATTTATATATCACATATACACATAAAGATGTGGAAATAAAGGGGGTAATACTTTTGAATGTGGAAATGGAGCAGAAGTGTATGAGAGAGTAACAACAGGATGAATGTGATCAAAGTCTATACATGTATCAAAATAGCTCAATGAAACCCTTTATTTTGTATATCTAATATATGATAATTGAAAAGAAGACTAATGGTAGACGTTGAGAAGTTTTTTGAAGAGTCAGAAGTTTATCTGAAATTGGCCTGGTGAAATTGCTTCAGTTGACTTAGACTAACAAGTGGGCATAAATACTACAGTCCTTGAAGAAGTCCAATCCCATTCTGTCTTTTACCCAATAACTCCAGGATTGCAACTGCATTACGTGGCTAGCAGTGTCAATGGATTAGACAGTTCAGCTTGACTCTTCATACAATAATTTTTTCCATTGCTTTTTAACACATGGGTAGAATATATGAAATAGGGAATGGCTACTAGAAAATGGTTATTTTATATTCTCTCTGTTCTAGATTTCATAAATCTTTATGTCTTAGCAGCTTAATCACAAGCGGGAAATGATTCTATGACTTTGGAAGATTTCCTGGGGATTTTTACTTTAAATACTATGTTTGGATCAAAAGATAAAATTCTTTTTATCTCTGACAAGACTGTAACTCCATGAGAGGGGGAATTTGCTAACCACTCTCTCTATTGGCTCTAGAATGGTGTCTGATACACAGGAGAACTTGTCTTAAATAAAAAAGTTTCATTGATTATTAACACATCATGCTGGTTGAAATATTATAGTATACATCTACTATGAACAAAAACACTAGACTGGCATTATCATCACAGTGGACTGTAAAGTGGCCCCTCCAGTTCTGAGTCTGATTCATGAAATAGTAGAGGATAATGTGTCTTTGGAGATGTAGGGGTGAAGGCAGAGACTAGAGGTATATAGTCCCAAACCAAAGAATGTGGAAAGCTATGAGAAGTTGGTGGAGAGAGAGGAATCAGTCTTTTCCAGGGAGTGCTTTTGTGAGCATCTCAAAACTTCTGGCCTCTGGGACTAAGAAAAACAAATCTACTGTTTCAAGATGTTTGACTTTACACCACTTTTTCCCAACAGCTCTATGGAGGAAGAATAAGATACGTAGTTGTCAGACTGATGTAACTGAAGTAGGGAGGCCCTGAACTAATAGTTTCTGACATATATAAATAAGCAAAGGAGATTTGATCATTACAGTTCATTTATGACCCTGGTAAGGAGCATGTTTAGAAGAGTGAAGGATATAGAGGAAACGGAGAGAGAGAGATGTGGAAGATAAGAAGTACAGGCAATTATTCCACACAGTTTAGCTGAAATATCATAAGCAAGATGGAAGTGGAGGATATGAGTTCAAGAAAGGAATTGTGAAAAAACGAAACATAATAGCATGTCTGCTCTCTGCTCGGATAAGGCAGCTGAGAAGGGAGCACAGAAGGACGAACGATGTGACGGGCTTGATCCATATTAGGTTATTATGATGGTATCGTCCCTGCCTTAAGCACTTATAATCACATCCAGATGAATGAACTGAAACCAGCAATTGAGGTAAAAATGCAAGGCAGCGTTTCACAGAAGGGCCCCATCCTGGGAGAGGGGACCACTGGAGGCAGCACTGACCAGAAGAACTCATGTGAAAACTAAGTTTAGCTTTAAAATGTAGAGAGTTGCTTAAATATAAAATTTCAAACATAATGAAAAGATTTGAAATAATATGCATGTGCCCTTTAATTTGATATCTCACTGTGTTTATTTCACATGGAACGTTATAGCGGTTGCTTTCCTCCTCCATTCAGTAGTAACATCATACTAATACAACAGAGTTTAAATTATTTAACCTGACTTCTGCCAAGTCGACCACAAAGTTACTTTTGTGCTCATGTATATACTGTAGTTGTAACTCAAGGCAGTAAAAATGTAATTACCAAATTATGGTCACCAATTCATGACAGTTTAAATATTTAGAAAACCTATACATTGTCTATAACTCCTACATCACTAGTCTTCAGTGACATATGACAGTGGTTAAAAAGAAATATTTATCTCTTGTTCTATCATTACAACATTAACTATGTATGCAAGCCATTTTCATAGATAAAGCTGCATGTGAAACAGAAAAAAAAAATCACATGATGAATTTCTCTATTTTAAGTCCTCCAGGAATTGCTTTCACAGATTGCAAAGAACACTGTTCTGTCAACCACATACAGCCATTTCCATCTCCAGCATTCCTGCAGGACACTAAGTGTCCTGATGAGCGAATACTCGGGCAAACTGCCCGCTTTTCATTTCATCGCGTGGCTACTACATGCTGGACACAAAAACTTTCTGGACCGTGGGTTGCACTCATTCTTCAGGGAACAACAAATGAAGATGGCTGGTGTTTGAAGGCAAGGAAGACTCCCTTCCTCTCTGGTAAAGCTGAGTTCTTTGCGTCTCAGCGTTCTGTGAATCTGATCTAACTTAAACACGCAGGCTCCTTCCCCAAATCATGAATTTGTAGTTTTCAATTACAGATTTACCTACTTGTCACTTTAAGAACGTCAGAGCCTCTCTGTTGGCTGGATTCTTGGTCACACTAGAAAATTAAATATTTGCCAAGCAAAACAAAACGCTTTAGGCCTGTTCACTTAGTTGTTTTGAAAGAGTTCATCTGATGTGTTTTACGCCACATTCATTGCGGGCTGTGCACAGGTCGTGTTTACGCACCCCGGGGAGCTTTGTTACGATGCGCTTTGTGTCTGCTGCATTGAGTTTCTGCATTTACCACTATTTATTATGCTTATTTCGCCCCCCTTATTAAGACTATACAATTACAGTTTCTTGCAGGGCAGGAAGAGCTGTGCAGTGCCTCTCCTGGTTGCTCTTTAACAACTGCCCTACCTGAGGACGGCAACTGACTCCCAAAATCAATACAGGCACAGTATGCAGGCCATTGTCACCACAGGGTGAGGTCAACAGACTTCAGCTACTATGCTTTTCCTTCGTTTCCCCCAGGAATGCCATGGATTAAGTTCAGTGCCCTGGGAAACCTAGACAAGCACCGTATAGGAAATGCTTTTCTCTATGCATAAACTTGATTGAATAAAGCCTTCATTCTGCTATGCTGAAGGGAAGGTTTGGATTCAGAAGAAAGGTCCATCAAATTCCATCTTACCAACAGAACATAGCATGTATTGGAACAAATCGGCATCTGCTTCCACATGGTACTGGAGGCTGAATATTGATGCTAACTCAGAAATGCAGACGCAGAAGCCAGAGAGACAGTCTGATGGTTAAGAGCAGATACTACTCTTGTAGAGGAACGAAGTTATGGTCTCAGCATTTACAAGGATCTGACAACCATATGTAAGTCTGATTTCAAGGGACCTGACTCCCTCTTTCGGCCTCCACAGGTACCAGGCATACGTGAGGTATGCATATATACATACAGGCAAATGTATACACATAAATAAAATAAAATACTTAAAAATTTAGGAATAATCCAGAAATACCCAATAGCAGCAAAACATGAAAAATTTCACTGCCAATTGACCAAAGATTCAGAAAAGTCATCTCACAAAAGCATGCCAAGCGTTTTATAGCACCTGGTTCTCGGTCTAATGAATCCAGCATTGGATGACTGTCTTTCCACTATGGCTCTTAAGAAAAGCAAACTGACACTACTGAATTGTCTCTACAGTCACAGCATCCGTTACACTATGACTTTTATAAGTGGTCCCCACACTGTCCTTTCCACGCATTCAGAACATCTTCTTAATGAGCACATAATAACATTCAAGCAGAAACTACTCTAGGACAGCAGCAGATTGTGACATGGCACAAGTCAGGTCTGTTTAAGCAGACCGAGCATTAGTACATCATGCGTGGTGACATTAGGACTACATGTAAAGGGACGGAGATGAAGCCACGCAGAGAACAAGGCTAGAATATTTGTGATGGAGGGGACTCAGGGGACACCTCGGAGGTGGAGCAAGCTTGACACTTTCCAGGCACACTGCTGCTAGAGCACAGTGGAGCCTGGATCCTGAGGAGAGTTATGGTCTTTCTAAGATGCCAAGCAAGCTAGAAAGGAAGGGGCAAAGTTAACTCAAATTTCTTTTGCTTTTTGCTTGTTCTAAATAATTTTCTTTTCTTTGAGGTTATAAAATAATTATATCATAAGCCCTTCCTCCCTCCAACTTCTCCCACATCCATAGCCCCTTTCTCTTTTTCATTTTGTCATACATACGTTTCCAGGGAAAACCATTTGTACTGGATGACCAAATGTGCTTTTTCTGTGGAAGGCTATTTCTTTAACTCAGTATTTCTTAATTGTCTGCAGTTATTCGTGTAGGGTTGAAGCCTCATGAGCTTTCCCCCACCTACATGAACATATCTACATGAGTTGTCCTTGTTCAGTTAACTTAGATAGTAATGTTGGTGAAGCTTCATGGGTGTGGCTTCTGACATTCCTAGGGGACACCATCTCACAGCAAACTCCTTGTTCCTCTGGCTCTTCAATCTTTCTGCCCCCGCATACACAATGTTTCCTGAGTCTTAGGTGCAGGAATTGATTGGCAGGTGTATTCACCAGGACTGAGCTCCACAACTCTGCATTTTGGTTGGTTGTGGTTTTCTGTAGAGGTCTCCATCTGTTGCAAACAGAAGTTACCTTGATGGAAGCTGATGACTATATTTTTCTGTAGGTAGAAGGACAAATGTTTTGATTGTTGCTAGGCATTGTGCTGGTTTAGTGAAGTGGTGTTTGTAGGCTCATCTACAAGAGCTGTGACTTCACTAACTCTGCGTAGTTAGCTGGATTTCTAGCACCAGGAATGCCTTCCCCGTGATGAGCGTGTCTGTAGAACCAAACTCTCCTGGAGAAGAGAATCAAGACTAGAAGCTTTCTGCTCAATTAACACACCTGATTGGGTCCTGACTTACACTTTCTGCTACAGCTTAGCCTCCAAAGGTAAACCTCACAGTGTTAGGGTCCAGAGACCCGGATCAACGGGATCAGACTCACACAACCATAGTTCACCACTTTCTATTATTGAGAAGAATATAAATTATATTTTCTTATGGACATAAAGTCATTTGTGGTTCTGTGGTTTTCATGTATATTACACACAGAGTTTGTATTTTTATTTAATGTATATGGGTGTGTTGCCTGCATGTATGTCTGTTCATCATGAGAGTGCAGTGCCCACTGAGGCCAGAAAAATGCACTTGATCTCCGAGAACTGGAGGTATAGACAGTTGTAAGCTGGGTACTGGGAGTGAAAGCCAGGCTCTAGAAGAATATCAATAGGCTTAACTACTGGTCCACTCTCTACCCTCACACAAGCTATTTTAAAGGCAGTAAAACTAACGTTTCCAAAACGTATATGAAAGAAACAGCTTTGTGTTATTACTCCCAGTCTAGTCTCCTTTAGAAACAAATGGTTGACCTTTTCCATCCCGCACACAGCACAGTAGCTCAGACAGGGCTTCATTTCTCCAGCAGAACCACCTTTATTGACCACACGTCATCCACCAAACCATTTCTGGGCCTCTTCAGATATAAAATAAGAACCTAGAATATAATAATCAGATGCTGACTGCTATAGCTCATTTTATTTCTAATCATTTATTTATTTTATTTTCCATTGCCTAAAAAGCCCCTGCCTACTAATGGGCTCTGAGTCCCCAGCTAGCGTTAGTTAGAAATACCTAGAAAAGAAAAATCCACGGTGCTTGTGACACAGAGCGGATGAGGTGTAATTCTTCACACAAACACAGTTTGAGGCTGATACGGTTTTCCTGGTCATTAGAGAACCTACCACATGCTTTCCGCCCTCGAAGTAACTGTAAAGCCCACTAGCCCACATGCCTTTAGACAGTGGATTGTACACACAGGGGCTCGGGTGGCAGGGCAATCTCAAAACGAGCCTCCCTTCTCTATGTAGGCTATGAGGATGTCTAACACAACACTTCCTCATGGCTCAGGCCAGTTTCGAGGAAAGCTTGGTGGTGTCTCTAGCTGACGTTATTATAGGCATAAGTAAACGAAGGTTCTGATACGGAGGGAATCAAAGAGAACAGATATTGGACAGAAGTGTGACAGATTTTTGTCACAAAAGTAAACATTTTCCATTAAAAGCATGGTCCTCAGCTACTATTTTCTATATTCCACAAAGTATCTGAATCCTCTCAGTTGGCAATCCAGGCTGTGAATATTTATATACTTCAACACCTTTCTCTCCTCTGGCAAGCCACATCACGCCACATGTAAATCTTTCAGTTACTTCCCTCTTCCTATCTCCAGTGCTATTACTGCCTCACCTGAACCACAGGAAGGTTTGTTTGGAGATCTGTCTTCAACCTCCTCAAAATATTACCATCGGGTTATTATTCAAATAATAACTCTGCTGCCGGCTCAGTGATAAATTAAATGCCTATCATGTTCAAGGACCCAACACTGCAAAACAAAGCAAGAGGAGGAGGAACCCACCACGTGGAATCTGCACTCTGATCATGTCATCTACCTGTTTTCCTCTTGGAGAGTTGCACTGCCCAGAGCGGAAGTGCCATTCCTCCCTCTGCTAATAAGCCTTATGGTGTAACTGATTTAATTGTCCTGAAGCCATGATTATGATATTTCATGTAAACAGCTGTTCACTGACTCTGAGCTGTACCTGTATTTTACACTGTCTTTCTTCACTTCACTAAACCATTTTAGTACTTTGTTCATAAGGCAAGGCTCTGGGAGTAATCAGTTCATGTGGAGATGTCCTCAGTACATTTAAGGAAATTAGAAAGGATAAGATTCAGGAATGGCTGTATTAACAGAACACTACGAGCCTTTGAAGCACAGTCCTGGTAAGGATACTCTAGAAGTACGTTCCTGGAAGACACAGGATGCTGGGCCATTCATCCACAGGTCCACAGATTCATCCTTTTCTCCACTCCCTGGGGGTCCATGGTGGACAGGAACCCCTCTGCATTCCCCAGTGCAATCCACAGAGTAGCATTGAGTTTTCTTTGCCAGAGAAAACCCTAGAGCAGAGAAGCAAACAGGTTCTCCTCCCTGACATTGGAGATCACCTGTATCTGGAACTGTCGACAGGCTTAATGGTGGTACTAGGGCGAGCAGAGCATTGTGAAGCCTACCATCCCAACACACATACCTGCCCAAAGCAACTCTTCCCTGACACTTTCCCTGCCTCCAAAATTTCTAGAATTTTATCTTAGCTGAACATTCGTTCTTTGTATTTTCATATGTCACCGCACTGTAGCCTTTTAGGCATAAGATTTTTATTCAATTTTATAAATATAAAATGTGTCCCTCATAACACATGGATGAGAAGGAAACAATCAAGCACCATGGGCATTCAAAGGCCACAGAAATCATTCTAGTTATAAATTACATAGTTCTGGCCTCATGTAAAAACATAACTCCAAATAGTTACACTTTTTTACACTAGCTTACACATTTTTTTACACTACAAATAGGAACACTGTCCTCTCAGTTTAGAGTTGTTACCTTGGGGACTCATTTTACATGAAATACTAGAGTGAGCTTAAATATCACGGGCACTTTGCTGAAATACTCTGTGAAGGTTAGGCTGAACTCTCAAGTCATGAATAATAGGCCAGAAAAAGTATCTAGTTTAGTTTTTAAAGCAATAAATACTACCTACTAAGGGGTAACTCTCTGCTATAGCAGCCCTAAATTTAGGGACCTTCAATAACCAACGAGGGCAGTGTTAGACTTCCCTTCGGGGGTTTAGTTACTGGAA